TGTTTGATAAATGATGACACAAACGACATCATCTTCCACTGAATACAATCATTGGTTGATGCGCTGGTAACCTTGATACGTACTTTGCACATAATACTTGAATGAAGCTGAGGATGGCCCTTGGTGAGAAAACTCCCGGGAGCCTGAGGCCGAGCTACAGGTGTCCGCTGACCCATTGTATTTAAGATTCACGTACACTGTACAGTCGTGGATTTTCCCGTCAGCTCTTGTTTTGCCGGGATCCAGGTTTAATGTTATGCTCAGTGACACTTTTTGGTAAAATTCAAGTTTCTCAAACTGAAAACAATACAAAACAAGGTTGGCACCGATTAACAATTGTGTGGTCGTATTTCAAAAACCTAATTTTGGGCTAAAACGTTTTTATGGATAAAAATGAGTTTCTTACCTTGAATGAGACCATCTGCGAATCAGATTGCGCAACAACACTGATAGAGTTGGAGAATTTGGTAAAATCATTGTAGGTAAGGAAAGGCGGTAAGGGTAGTTGTAATTTGCCATTCTCCACCAGGTCTGTAGTATCGTCTGAGTGCTCCACATCCACGCGGAGATTGATTTTGTCTCTAACAAAAAATAAAAGGACAGCATGTCAATCAAGGTACTGTAAAGGACCAGTCATTTTTCATCGCCTGGGGAGAGGAGAGGAGAGGGGGGGAGGGGTGGAAGCAATTTTGAGGGGGATCATATGATTTTTCAGAGGGAAGGGAGGGGAAATCAACAGTAGCCAACAGGCGATAAAGAAGGAAAAATATAGAAAATTGACTGCGAAGGGTGGGGGGGGAGATCATACAAAGCCTTAAAGTGGGATTAGGTAAATTTAAATATACATGCGGCAATTTTAGAAAGCTCATCGGCTGAGATCACGACAATTAAAGTTGAGATTTAGTGCGGAGTGGAAATTATTGAGCAGAAAGTTGAAGAGCTACGAATTTGAAATAACTGAGAATCAGGAGTTTGTAATCTCTTACAAATCTCTGGCCTGTAATTGAAACATTCCACAAAGTAGTCACTGATTATGGATACAAATCAAACAGCGATGTTAGGTGCAATTTGTAATCTCTACCTCAAGAATCTTTCGACGATTTCTTAGTTTGGTGAGATAATTACCGGATTGTGTGCTGAACGAGATGTTCATCTTGTTTACTTCAAAATGTTGCCCACATTGCTTTAAGTTTAAGTCGCATGAAATTGTTTGCCTCCAGTTCCCCAACATCCCGTTCCTATTTTAAACTCCTCAATCTTGCCTCTATTGCCTCGTTAATTCAAGTTCTCGTCTTTTGGTCTCCGATCTGTTTGCCTACATTAGCTTTTACAACATTTCAGTAAAGCACCTAAGCCGTTTTGCTGTAAATATTGGATTTTCCAACCTAGCGTCGGCACGTTGATGCCTTTCTCCGAATAAAATACAGTCCTCAACTTGTAATGAGTAATTTGCTTTAAAATAATTACGAGAGAAAATACATGCATACCCAGAGCGAACGGTATGGTAGTTTGAAACACTCCATAAGGTCACTTTCAGATCAGGTCTCTTGCAGGCTGGTTTGACAGTCTTTACTGCTAGCATGGCAGCCCAAACAGATTGATTTTTGTACTCGGTTCCAACACTAACCCACTGCAAGCCACCGTTCACGATCTCCTGGTGATCCATCACCTGAATCTCAAACTCAATCTTAATCTTGGTTTCGTTCTCATAAGTTGCTCGAGTGACTTCGCCAAATTCAAAAAATGCAATATCGTGAAGACCATCATTTGCAGATGAAGTGAGGTTTGGGGACGTGTTTGGGACGGTCAGCTGAGAGCTAACCTCAGTTACTTCTGTTTTTGTTAGTCGCAGAATGGCGGAGGTGTTGAAAGGACACTTGATTTTTGTCTTCAATTGAGTGGTCTCTGGAATGGTCATTTCAAGTGTGTACTTTACACGACGGCCAACATATTGCCAATCTGTAGACCTGGAGAGGCTGAACTTAAATTCTGAGGCCTGTAAACGGAAGAGCGACAAAATGAGGCGATTTTAAATGAAGTTGATACTTTAATAGGTAAGGAGAAACGAGCTCAATTCGGAATCGAATTTCTATTCCTGATGAAATGTTTCTATGCCTCAATATCTCCATAGATATATCATAGCATTCCACATGTGATGTTAGCAAAATTTTATTTGAGGCCGAAATTTTGTGCGGAATTCTTTGGAATGAAATTCATCTTGAAGCAGGTGCACAATACCCTAAAAAATTTTGTTTTGGCCTGCCGAATCGCGAAAATTTTCTAGGACTTTCTTGACGTCAAATTAAAGGGCATAACTGCGGCCTTGAAGTAAAATTGGTTTCATTTCACGGTTCTGGGCGTCTAAGTTGCAATTAGAGAATGAATCATAAGTTAACAAATGAATAAATAACAGCACCTTTTTGAAAAAGGCTTCTTAGATAGGCACAAAGTTTAATTGTTCACCTGCACAAATTAAAATAGCTTGGAGGAATCTGGTGGGATTCAGAATCCTTCGAAAAAAAATTCAAAATTATTGCGCAACTTGGCGAAATATGTTCGTGTTCTTCTTATGACTCCTGTTATTTTAGAATAAAATGCTTTTTTTTTCGCCTAAAAATTTTATCAAAGCAGCTTATTTTTTTAAGTTCCTTGCTTGGATAATCATTGTATTTCGATTTCCAAAGAGCTCAATACTAAACCTGACAGTTTAAGACTTTCATGAATTATTAAGTGGTATTGATTTCGTTGAGGTCTCAAGAATTATTTGTTCTCTTTATGCGCTCTCTGGAAACTTTCGAGGGGCAAAACAAATGCAACTGAACTGAAGAGATTTGTTAATCCTTCGACAAAGTCTGACGACTGCGATATACTTTCGACAGAAGTTGAGCGTGCAGCTAATATGTAAAAGTTGCCGAACATTTCTAGAGTCGTATGCATATTTTATGAAGGATAATGGTTTCCAGAACTGAATTTCTCTGACAAAAGGTTACAAACACGAAACACTTTTGGCTCCAGATGAAGACAAAACGATGTAAAGTTGCCTTCCGTAACAGTTTTTAAATAAACTTCCTGCTTTCAAAGTCCCTTTTTCGCAATAATTACAAAAGCTGCAGTCTCCCTTGAGGACTTTTGGTGTAAAACACGCTTTTGCCTAGTAAATTATATAATCGCCTTCTGTCCTGAAGGACTTAATTTTGGTGTTTGAATAAAGTTGTTTTTGCCATTTTATTGGATGACGCCTCTTAAAACTAACTCGAAGAAGTTGCTGTGCATTCAGCTCTCAATCAACAAATAAAGCGAATGAGCCTTCTCCGTTTACCCGGCGTATTTCGCCGGAAACAGATGAATAACGAAGGAATCGAAAAACGAAAACCGGAGGAGAAGAAGTGTGTCACTGTAAAAAAGGGCATTAAAAAGCAGCCTAATTTCTGCTACAACTTCTTTTACCAAGCACCTCCACAGAACGGTTTGTTTTGCTACATATCAACAAAATATACGATAAACATTTAACATCCACAACCAACTGCGTAAAATTGATTACTAACGAAGGAAAATACGTCGTCCTTTTCGTCAACAAAGCTATTTTTTCAGCAAAAACTTGTGATCCAATCTTGCTGGTAAGTTTGACACAATTTGACGCCGATGTTTTGCAATAAGGCGATTTTCTATCGTCAGTATTTTAATCTGACCTCAAATATATCGAAAAAAAAACACATTGTATCTCAAGTTTACGTGCATCTGTCGGGTTAGATTAATCTGAAAACCGTTTTCAGGAACTCGTTCAGAGTTTCACATTAAGTTTGAACTTAATTAAGAAAGTTTTTTTTAATTTCTTTCTTTTTCCTTTAAACGATATACTCATACGAACTGCAAGCAAACCCAGAAATGATATCCTTCAACAGTTTCGAGATAACTGTGGTAAACAGTTAAGCGTTAATTTTTTAAGGCGGCGAGAGCTTAGAACATGTCAACCTAATATTTCGAAGTACTGATAACTTAACCGAAAATTTTTAACTAACCTCGTCCATGATAAAGACATTGTATAAAAAGTAAATCATTAAAATAATTTTTTACACTTTATCAGTGTCCTCAAAGCGAATTGCCAAGAAAATATTGCAATGCTGATACGAGCGCATCTTCTGCGTAGCATATTGGAGGGTTTTTTAAGAAAACAATTTCGCCATTGCGGTCCTTAAAGATCAACCAGAATATTTAATCATAAGAAAAATAAAATACCTCTTACCTCACAATTAGATAAAACTGCTACAAGGTAAAGTAACAGGAACATTATTTTAAGTTAGTGAGGCTGAAAGTTTTCGAATCGATCTCAAAAACAACTTCGCCTCTCGCGGTAGCAGGTGTTAAACTTGAAATGGCCCAAAAATGCTAAATTATTAACGTTATTTACTTACTCCGTTAGATGCCATGGTGACAGAATGACTTGGTGAGAATAATTATGTTACCAAGCGCTGTTCGTGTCAGTCACATTATGTCTGTTGATTAATTGTAAAATTTTGCTGCCGGGAATGCTTTTTTATAATGCCAAATAACAAAGCGCATTGTTTAAATGTTTCGTACAACATGATGAAATTACGATTTTCTTCTACTGCCAAAAGTTACTCATGGACATTTCTCCTAAAGTCGTGAAAGTATAAAAATTAAAATGCCTCGCTTTGTTCGATTAATGAATAATTCACTCAACATTAGTGCGTGTTAATTAGAACAGACTTCATTGTCAAATGATTTTATCCGAAAACGTATATTCTTGGATTCTGAAATCACACTTCATGACTTTTTCCTCCAAGGAGAGGTTTCTATATCTTCTATCGTTGTTCTTGAGTGACCTACCATCAACTACAAAACCGCTCAGGTTACTTCTTTGTCCTTAAACGAATGACGTAGCCTCTACAACTACGTCACACTATATTAATAAAATTTCCTACAATATTCTTTTCATAGAAAACTCGTCCATGTCTTGAAACACGATCTTGCAGGTGGAATTCGGACGCCACACAATAAATTTTATTGCACGCTAAAATTGTGTCCATTAACAAGTTACCTCGTAATCGTCACTGTCCGCAATTTAATTTTTAAAATCACTTCTACAAGTCTTATAAATTTCTCTCTGTAAAGTGAAGTAATATAAACAATCCTATGAGTAAAAGGTGACAAAATGGCTGAGTTTTGAAAAAAAACAGAGGTCCATCGTAGGAGACTATGCGAAACACCCAGGTTAGGGGATTTTCACCGACTTTTGTTGTAACAAATTTGGAAAAGCTACGTTTCAAAAGGCTTCCCTTAATCTGAGCCAAAACAAAAAGAAATATGAGACATGATCTTTATGTAGAGAGGGAAAAAAATAATACTGCCTTGCAGTGCTACAATAATGATTAAAATAAAATAATTATTATTATAAAGTATTAAAACATCGAAATCAAGTATTATGACTATTTAAGATCAAAGTCTCCAAGAGACTATAATGTCATTTGTGCCACAATACAGGACACACTCTTGCCATTTGGTAGATAACCTTTAGTTCAGGACATTTTTTATCATTTCCAAAGCCATTTCAGGGGCATCTATCGGAACCATATGACCAGCATTGAGAATGTAATAAAGCCCAAAGTTTTTATAGCTCTTCAAGAAAGCTCCAGTTTCCCTCTTTTCCAATTTTGATGGTGCATACAATGGTTTCCTAGATGCCTTCAAAAATTCTGACAAGCCATCCCACTTGATTTTCGAAATCCACAACTCTGCCCCAAGTGTCCCACAGATCATATCAAGCTGACCTTCATACACAATCACTTTCACCCCTCCCCTGACAAGTTCACCCACATCTGATAATACTGATGATGGGATGTCATTTCGTTGACAGTTTGCCACCAAATTTGACTGACCACCCCATGTAACATTTTCTGGTATTATACCAAGCTTCTTTCTGATTGGCCCATTCATGAGCTCAGAAAGAGGATCACTGTGGGCCCTTATTATGTATTGTGCAAACATTTGATCATGTGACAGCCTGGAAGTATTCTTGTGGATAAGGGAATGTGTGTTGACAGAATCTAATACATTATGACGCAACACATAATAAACATCAACATTGTCAGTTACATTAGCAATGAGGTTGCTTCCTTTGTCCGTTAAATCCATAGCTGTCTTGAAATCTCCTTTACTGGCAGCATTGAAAACTTCATTGGCCAATTCTTGGACATCATTGTAGTCTTTCCCATCAAGCAGCGAAAAAGAAAATAGATATGGTCCATAAGAGAGTGTTATGTCTTCAAAAGATATCAAGGAGTCTCCTAGGGCAAGCCCAATAAGATTACACTGAATCTTCTTTTCTTTAATCAAGACATGTAAGGCCTTACCCAAAGCAGCAGCCATTTTACCACCATACGACTCACCAGCAATGAAAAAAGGTAACTTCTGGAAAATTGGGAACTTGAGCAGAAAAGCTTTGAAGAAGGTTATCAAGTCAGCTGTAATTTCTAAAAAGACAAATGATAAGGATTTAGTCCTTTAAAATAACAGTATTGCACATTATGGAGGAGGGGGCTAAGATGGAGGAGGGGGAAATGGACTAGGAGGGGGCTGAGTGGGAGGAGGGGGCTAAGGGGGAGGAGGGGGAAATGGAATAGGAGGGGGCTGAGGGGGAGGAGGGGGAAATGGAATAGGAGGGGGCTGAGGGGGAGGAGTGAGCTAAGGGAGAGGAGGGGGCTAAGGGGGAGGAGGGGGCCAAGGGGGAGGAGGGGGCTAAGGGGGAGCTGGAGGAAATGGAATAGGAGGGGGCTGAGGGGAGGGGCTCAAAACCGAAAAACTCAAAACTGATCTAGGTGTCCAACAACTTCGAAACGAAGGTCCCTACGTACCTGAGATGTTCGTGGTGAGGGCCGATGGATCTGTAACATAACTATATCCACAACCAACAGGATTATCCACAAATACGATGTTAGCTTCCTTTATCCACGTTGTATTCCGCGGCTTGAGATCGATATCCAGGGGACCGATCTCTGCGAAATTGCCATAACCTGTGGAGGAAGCCCCGGGACCTCCCTGCAACCACATCAACAGAGGTTTTTGAACTCTCTCTGCTGGATCTTTCACCTGAGCTCCATAAAACCACCAGAACATGTGAGCATTTGGTCTTACTTCCACATAACCCCAAGCTTCATCTTGTATCAGTGGTTCTGATTTCGCAGCTTGAATGGATAGCTGAAAGGCAACGAGCACGAACATGGAAATGATCGAAGCCATTTTCGTTTTAGTCTAACCTCGGTTGTGACTGATGATGAGTAAAATTTGCTCGAAAGAGATCTGGGTATCAGGGAAATAGCCTCCCTTTAGGGGTGGGGAGGAGTAGAACTATAAGGAACAATTTTTTTTCTTTCTTTTTATCCTAAATTTTTTCTGTGAAACGCAGAATGAACCACAGTAGGCAGGGTTTTTTAAATATAATTCATCGATGAACTACATATTTTTCATGTAAACTTCAAAATAGAAACCTTTTTCCTGATGATTTCAGTCCTGTATGTATCAGCCTTTGTCACTCCTCCCTGCTGTGGGAAATTTGCTCGAAGTCCACATGACAGTGCGATCACATTTCCAAGATGGCGGAAAACTCTCAGCAACCTTTGCCGAAAAGACATGATTTACAAACGTCCGCAGACCTCGAGAGGGTAACAGATTATGCAGAAGAGAAAGAAATAAGTACAACGGACATAGAAAATGTGAGCTCTGTGCTTTTCCGACTATGACGTCAAAGATCGAGGTTTAAATCTAAAGTGAAATTACTTACTTGGTCGCGTTTTCAGGCCAGATTTCGCTCTTCTAATTACAAGTCTTATTTGGTCAGTTTTTCATATCGTGACAGGTAGTTCACAGCTTGATTGATATTTTGCGTACCACATTGAGAACATGTGGCGAAAATAGCTATGCGCCAGAATTCTGCATCTTTTTCGAATTCTGCGTTAGAAGTGACTGAAGCATTATATTCTTCGATCTCCATAGCCTAGTGCATGCAACAATGCAGTACATGTGGATTTAGGTGGCTCTGCATGCACCGGATCTTGTCGATTTTAGCTGCAGTCATTTGCCTCTAGTACAAAGCTGTGTCCCAGTAGGATAACGGTAGTATAGTTGAGTATATATCAGTGCTGTTTTGTCATTATTTTGAATAATCCATCTTTGGTTTTGTCTTTGTTTTCTACTCGTAGGCTATTAGTCTAGTGGAAGGAAGATATTCGGAGGAAAAGGCTGCAAAGCTACAAAGGTGAGAGATGAAGGTATTGTGACCCAACTAATGTATTACAATTAGCAAAGCAGAAATCAGAATTCATGTATACCTCACAGGAAATTTGATCAATCCAAGAATATACTATTAACCCTTAAACTCCCGTGAGTGACCAAGGAAGAATTTCTCCTTGCTATATCTATACAATATCATGCAGACAAGTGATGAAAATAAAGAAAAATATCAATTATAGGATTACTAATTGATCCCATACAAAATTCTCCAAGATAACATAATGAGAATCATTTGGCAGACAGTAAGGAGAGTTATTGATGAGATCTTGGGAGTTAAAGGGTTAAGTCATAAACCTCATTATGTAACATTATGCTATCCGGTTAGATCGTACCATGGTTAGATCGCTCCCAGTTAGATCGCTCCAACCAAAAGTTAGATCGCTCCACTCGAAAGTTAGATCGCTCCATCAAATAAGTTACTTTGCTACCAACAAGGTACTTCGTTTCATGTTGTAATGTGAAGTTTCGCTTAGCAATGATCTTTAAAGTTCATAGGTGATAATGTGTCTTGCGACGATTCGAGTACATCGTATTCGCTCTGTCCATCAGATTAACCACCTATATATTTATATATATATAGAGGTGACTAGAAGTATAGCGATGATGGAATAAATGATCGTGGTTGCACTTTGTGAGTCCGTTACATGAGGCTTCATTTGTTCTCTCTGCGTAACTCAGATTTATTTCAAGGGCGCGCGAGCGATATTAATCGATTGTTAAGTAAGATATACACGTCATTTGATGAATTGTAAATTTAGATAGCTTAGTTTTGCTACCTTTACCTTAGTTTTCTACATGGAGCGAAGTAACTTATATTGATGGAGCGATCTAACTTTCTAGTGGAGCGATCTAACCTTTGATTGGAGCGATCTAACTGGGAGTGATCTAACCATGGTGTGATCTAACCGTAATTCAACATTATACATGATTGTTGTCAGAAAGGAGAGCCTAGATAGCTTTGGATGAGGAATGTTGGATAAGTGCCACTTCTGGAAGATCCTGAACCCTTCAGTACCCTTGATAACTTGCCAAATTTCCAAGATAAATTTGGAACAAAATTAAGAGAAAAAGTGAAAATGAGATATTTGGTCAGAGGATGTTTGTTTTCCTGAACAGTGGTCAAATTTTGGGCCTGCACACTGCGATCTAATTGTGCTGACCACACGCCAATTTTCTGCAGAAAATCTCAAAGCAGAACATTGGATAGAACTGCTGTCATGCAAAATATACAAAGACAAATTGAAATGTTTAAAGAAATCTGTAAGAAAAAACAAGAGTAAGGAAAAGCAAAACTCAAGACTTCCAGAACACAAAACTTTTTTGTGTATGGGTCTTCTCCTGATTTAACATTTTGTTTTGAGCTTTCTCAAACAAGTTAAACGCTTTTTAAACACCAAGACTTACTGGCTTGAGTGGTTGCTTATAATTCTTGTAAGACAACTTGGCTCTGTTGGACGGGCTGAAAGCACCTTACAACATCTGTGCATGTCCAGATGTTTGACAGCTGTGTTGTCTTCCCATCAATTCTTCTTCTTCCTGCTTTCGTGAGTTAGGGTGTCCAGTACACCCTGTACCTTAAATTTTTCGGGACTCTCCAGATTACAGCTTTCCAGAAGCTGGTATTGGGTGCCAGCCTATTACTCATTTTGACTTCATAAAAACTAAACTTCACTTTTCCTCATCATTGCTAGACCTCATTTTGGGGGTCAATAAATTCACTGTGTCTAAATATCATGGTGAACAACATTATGCTTTGCTTCTTTTTTTTGTTTGTTTCCAGAGAGAAGGAACTTGCTAGGATTGTCATAAAAAAGGAAGATGTTGACTTGATTGTGAGTTATGCTTCTAATTTGGACAACATGAATCTGCTCTTGTGTTAAATTTTGCCTCTGCTTCAATTTCACCAGCCACAACTTTATACAACTGTTAGTAGTATATCAGTAACCCACAGCTATGGCAAGCTTAAGCTGTATGATGTAATAAAAATTTTTTTCCACAAGGAATTCATCAGCCCTTTTCACCCTAACATCAGTGTCCATATTCTCCATACTGTTCTCTATACATTTCCTAAGGTGCTGACAAGGAGAATTTGTTTAACAATCAAGGGTTTCCTTAGTTCGTGATCATTTCCTTTAATCTTGTGACCTTAACATGTGATTCAGGGTGATATTGTAAGGAGAAATTAGATGCTGGTCACTCTCAGGGGTGAAACAGTTCACAAAATGTTGTCAGCAGGGGAGAACTTTAATCCTAAATGAAACCTTGCTTTTATTACTAGGTAGAGGAAATGGAAATACCAAGAGCTGCTGCAGAAAGGAGTCTAAGAGAGCACAAAGGAGATGTGGTAGAGGCTCTAGTGTCTCTTACAAATTAGACAGCTTTTAAAAATGATAAGGAAAAAAAATGGAAAGACACCAGCCTATGAATATGACAGTCCAGTTTTATCACCATATGGAAACTATTAAAATGTATTTTTCTGTTTCTACTGAGGATACAGTCTGAGTATGTTATCATGTTGCTGGGTCAAATGAATCTGGTTTCAATTTTTTTCAATGGTTATCTGTTAACTTGCACTTGCTGCAAAAAAAAATTCTAAACCCTAGAAGTCTTTCTACTGTCAATTGGAAATGCTTCTTCCTGTACAATGCTGCGAGACTTGTGTAAGAATCAATAAATTAGTAAATACCTTTGTGGCAAAATCCTTGTAAGTGTTCTGTTGTATTAAAGCAGTGAAGAAGTTTTGTCCGGAAAGTTTGTTTCCTCTTAATGTGAGAAAATATTTCTCAAACAGCCTCTAATTGAACTGGTGTCAGATTATCAGGTTTTTATTATCCTTTAGAGCTTTCCTTGTTACAAACTCCATTTTTTATTGATGACTGAATTGCAATGTGCCTTGACTACTGGTGATTACGAGTGGGCTGGGGTAGCGAGACAGAGAAAGATAGAGGAAAAGAGGCGGGGGTATGGGACGTGGAGATAACGTTCACGGCCCAAGGTTGCGTGACTTTTGCCTCATTATAATAACGCATGAGGCTTCGTATCAAGTCATTTGTTTCGGCGATCGCAATTATGGCGGAATGCGGCAGAATTTCTACTGTGATAACTTTCATGTTGATGTGCACTTGGAGTTTTCCTTCAACTGCTGAATCTTATTTTCAAGAAATTCCGACCGAAACTTGGGGTTACGTGGAAGTGCGAGAAAATGCACATATGTTTTGGTGGCTCTACGGAGCTCAAACGAGCAACTCTTCTGAAAGAGTGAACAAGCCACTTATCATGTGGCTTCAAGGAGGACCAGGCGGTTCCTCAACAGGGTTTGGAAATTTCGAAGAGCTTGGTCCACTCACAGTGGAGCTGAAACCTCGGAACACTACCTGGATTCAGGCTGCAAATGTTTTATTCGTCGATAATCCTGTTGGCTCAGGGTTTAGTTACGTCACCCAACCAAGTGCTTACACCACGAATGTGACTGGTATGCATGCTATTAATACCGGATAGCTCTACACTTTATCGATCTGTATAAAACTTCATAGCTTTGGGGTTATACTCGTAGTTCAATATCTTACAGTGAAATAATTTGTTAAAAAAAAAATTCAAAAGGTGTTCCTCCTACTTTCAGCGTTTAGTACTGTAATTTCCATCTCGTGACTACATTGTGACAATTTAATTTTTTTTTCGAGTGGCGTGGTGGAGGGTGACGGGAAGTTGACATTTTAATCTATTATTTTGCATACATTAGCAAATTTTTTCAATGGTTAAGTTTGATTCCTTAGAATGTTGTTAAAAGAAGAGGTGTTTCCGAAGTAAAGATTGGTTCAGCTCGCTGGCTAAGGGCATTCTTTCAGTTTCACCTTTACAAGTCATATTACGAATTAATCTGAGTCCTTACACATTATGATGTTTTGGAGGACAGAGCAAAAATGACATCAACATTAAAAAAATTTTGCTTTCTTATCTTTAAAAAAAGTCTATGGGTCTGTTTGCAAAAATATTACAAAAGATGTCAAAATGTGATAAGGACAGTGGTGAAACGCTCAGTTGTACCTCAAGTGCTACTTTTTTTTTCTTAACCCTTTCACTCCCAAGATCTAATTAGTAATTCTCCTTACTATCTGCCACACAATTCTAAAGATGTTAGTTCAGAGAATTTGGTATTGGATCAACTAATAATCCCATGATTGATATTCTTTTCTATTCTCATCACCTGCCTGCTTGATATTGTATTGACATTGTAAGGAGAAATTCTGTCTTGGTCACTTGTGGGAGTGAAAGGGTTAACACATTTTGACATGGCAACAATTGGAGACTATCCATTAAACAATAAAAATAACTTGTTTTGTGTAGAAAAGGTCTGTTGCTATGCAGCAGCAGCAGCAGCATGAGGGGCAGAACAACCCAGTTCAGATATTAATTAACTCCTTAGGCCTTCACCCAGACCAACCTCTATGATAACCTTATTTCTTTGAGGCAATCAGATTGTAATTTTTTTGTAGAATTTTGCATAAAAGAGAATGAAAATTGTCATTTGTCGTAATTTACCCTTTTGTTTCCAACAGGTATTGCAAATGACCTTGTTACTCTTTTTAGAGCCTTCCTGGAAAAACAACCTGTTTTCCAGCAAATGCCATTTTATATCTTCTGTGAATCCTATGGAGGAAAGATGACATCTGCCTTTGGTGTGGCCCTGTATCAAGCTATCCAAAGTGGAAGTGTGAAGTGTGACTTTAGAGGGGTTGCTCTGGGTGATTCTTGGATTTCGCCTGTGGATTCTGTGTTGACCTGGGGACCTTACCTTTATGCTGTAAACCTACTTGATGGAAAAGATCTGGCATCTGTCAATCAAGCTGCCCAGTCTACTGCTGAAGCTGTTGCTAAGGGTGAATATACAAAGGCCACTCAACTCTGGGGCCAGACTGAACAAATCATTTCAGCAACAACAGATGATGTTGATGTTTACAATATCCTGATACACCATGCCCCACCTTTTCCAAAGTTTCAATCTCTAGGAAGCGATTTCTTAGATCGCTTGTATGCTCAGCATGTGGGTCCCCTTTACACTGACCCTCTGACAGAACTCATGAATGGTCCAATCAGGAAGAAGCTGGGTATAATACCATCTAATGTCACCTGGGGTGGGCAGTCAGGTGAAGTGTTTGTGTACCAGACTGAAGATTTCATGAAACCAGTCATAGGTGATGTTAGCAAACTTTTGAATTATGGTATTAAGGTTGTTGTTTATCAAGGCCAGTTGGACATGATTTGCGACACCCTTGGAGCAGAGGAGTGGATCAAGAAACTTGACTGGGATGATTTACCACAATTTTTAAACACCAATCGAGAGCCACTATATGCCCCCTCGGGTAAGACAGACAGAGATACAGCAGCATTTTACAAAGCGTACAAGAACTTAGAGCTTTACTACATAATGAAAGCTGGTCACATGGTGCCATCAGATAATGGAGAGATGGCTTTGGAGATGGTAAAAAGAGTCATCGATGAAGAATACTAACTAATTAAAATACATTTGTCTAGTCAGGTTAAAACCGTCACATTAACCCTTTAACTCCCAAGATCTCATTAGTAATTCTCCTTACTATCTCCTATACAGTTCTTGTGATGTTAGTTTGGAGGATTTAGTATTGGATCATCTTATAATCCCCTGGCTGATATTTGTCTTTATTCTCATAACTTGTCTGCTTGATATTGTTTTGATATAGTAAGGAGAAATTCTTTCTTGGTCACTTATGGGAGTTAAAGGGTTAACTGTCAATTTTAGGTCCAGCATTTTCAGCTAAAGTAGTGTTTTCTCAAATTAGGTAATGAGTGAAAGAGCCTTCCATTCTTCCATAAGAATTGATATCCAACTCTGAAACAGTGAGAAACTAGGGGAAAATCAGTTCACCAGTGATTTCTTGGCAAAGGGCTCCAAACTCAACTACTTTCTAAGTCACCAACTGTTGACCCTAAATAATGAAACCAGTTATCTATAACACAAGTAGACCTACTTGGTAGCTTATAACCCTTTAACCCCTAAGAGTGACTGGCATCTAATTTCTCCCAACAGTTTCACCCCTGAATTACACTTTAAGGTCACGAGAATAAAGGAAATGATCCCCAAATAAAGAAGCTCTTGATTGTTAGATGAATTCTCCTTGTCAGCACCTTAGGAAATGTAAAGAGAACAGTATGTAGAATTTGCATACTGATTTTAGGGTACAAAGGGTTTAAGAAAAGGGCTTCATGCACAATCAAGGTTTTCATAAAGAAATATTGCTGCAGGAGATCCGTGTTGAATGACAGGTGATCATTGTTTATGCCTGGATAAGATTTTGATCAAGTTATTGAAATTTATAACATCCCACAATTCTTCACAACAGTCAGAGAATTCTCTAGTTCCCTTTGAAGAACCAGAAATTTCTGTTTCAATAACTTACAAGTCATTGCAAAATGTATTAAGTTTTGGTATAAATTTAATCTGTTAATAAAGTAATAAAATCAAATTATGTTTAACTTATCAATTTGTTAGTATTACAGTTAAATCCATATTATACAGCACCATGGTATATTAAGCAGTCACCCTGCATTAAGCGGTTGGTTGTCAAAGTCCCAAAATTTTTTGCCCTCAAGTACTATAATTATTTTCACCTGTCGGCTTGTTTGTATTGTCTTTTAACTGTATTGAACAGTCTTTTAAAGTGGAACCACACAATAAAACTAAGAGTCGTCAATGTTAGTACTTTGAGTTCAAATTTCCTCAACACAATAAAGATTGTCTCTCTTCTTTGGAGAGTAAGGAAAAATATTACCCATGATCATCATGCAAGTCACATGTTGGTCAACCTGTATTATGTAGTCACCCCACCATTCTCTGATGGTGACTGCTTAATACAGGTTCAGCAGTGTTTCTCAAGTTTTTTTCCTCTGATGCCTGTACAATGGACTTCAACAATCAAAATTAGTAGACCACTGACACTTATGTAGCTTTTGCTTTTAATTCATGTGTAGCGTTACAAGATAACGTACAAGAAAAAGGGAAATCACAATAATGATCACATTACAATCATGATCACAATTACAATCACATTAAAGAACTATTTTGCAAACCAAAACAGCTACATGAAGATGAAACTCCCTCTAAAATGTCAAAGCATGTGCAATCCCCCTGGAGATTGTCACATGACATAAAACGTAATGTAAAACAGGAAATGAAACTAAAACAAAAATGAAATGGTAGCCACAACTTAAAAAAGACCAAATGATAAATTTATTTATAAATAAGAGGTGATTTGCCTGTGAAAAATAGTCCATTAAATATATAAAAAGCTGAATTATTCCTGCATTTTCATTGGTTCCTGTTTATGATCTAATGGAGGACAGATGCACAGATGATGTCACCACTAACAACATTTTGCTTTTTTACTACATTTTGACATCATTTGTGATCTATTACTGAACAGATGAACAGCAACATGGAGTCTATTTGTTAATTTGCTGAGGTCTCTAACAAGAAGGCAGAGTGGTTGGTTAGGGCACTGGACTTGTAGTCCAGTGGTCCCAAGTTCAAGTCCTCCTCCCTGCTACTCACTACATTTGTTCTCAGTCCCCACAAGTTCAAATAAATAGCCAGCTGGTCTGCCTCATTCCAGTTACGATTTTCAAGCAGTTTATGTTTATTTGAAATATTTGCTTCTCTTTCTTTTATATTGTAAACCACTTAGAGACTTGCAATAAGCCCTGTATAAATTGTAAATTAATTTTAAAAAAAAACCACTTAAAAAACACCTAAAGCAGAATTATACCTGTTATTTTTTATTGTCTCTTGTAGGACAATAAGTTACTCCTGAATTACTTTCAGTGATGTGTGAATTTGTAATTCACTACTCGCTGACCTTAATTACAAAATAGCTACTGGAGGTACTGTACATAATGCAACTGCATGTCTTTGGGCAGAATATCTAAAGTAAGGGAACATGGATTTGCACTTCATCTTCACACAATGTGTAATTTCCTGACATTACTCCTTGCAGCACTCTCAGGCGGAGGAGGCCATGTCAGTCCATCACCATAAGGGGGATGCACTGAAGGTAGAAGAAGCCTCAGCCATGATCTGAAAGAAAGATCAAAGAGTGATGTCATTAAGAACTTTATCTCTCAGTTAGTGCATGCAATAAATTATGATTGGTCAATTAAACAGACTGTATTTCTCTGTTTGGCCTGCAGAATTCAAAAGTTAGTTGGAATTGAAACCTTACCCCTCAATTTGAACCCGACGATAAAATTAATATCCTATTTTCAGCCCCTACAGTAAGTTAGGGTACCTCCTTTTTTTTGCTCAGACTTTTGGCCTGCACTTTCATGCCTTAACCATAAGTCCAAGTGTAAAAAACTTGGTCTGTATGTGTAACTTCCAATGTGGATCTAGAACTCATTTGGTACAAGGTATGTATATCGTACATGAATCCATTAGAGGGCTAAATTTCTAGTTCCCTTTTGAATGCCGCATTTGTTAAATTTCCCAAACAGATGCTGGTTTTGAATTCCTAGTATACCTAACATTAGCCATTAAATATACCACACCTTCCTTCAACAAGTCCAAGAAGAATTCTCCAGTTATTCCAAGTGCCAAAGTTATAAGGATTCCTAAAAACCTGCAGTTTGAAATACAAAGTTAACAAAATTATTTTTTACACTGAATTCACAACAAATATTTCTTTACTAAGGAATAAGGAATATTTCAAGGGAAGAAGAAATCAAGCCAAGGTATACTTCACATCTGTATCTCTGAGTGCAATTTTTCTATATCCTTTTCAGACTAATGTGGAACATTTTTTTGGTTACATTTATTTCATTTTTTTCTTCCTTCTTACCTCTGAGGCACAGTGTATGACTCTGAAAATAGTTCAAGAATAGATAGATTAAAGTAAATTGAAACTCAGTGTTAGTAGTTGTAACTCTTACCAAGCCTTGTTTCCTAAAAGTTCTAGCTTCTTCTATGTTAGAATGCCATTCAATGGATGTTTCCCCACGGCCAATAAGATGACAGTGCCATCCTGTCAGTACTCCCAGTGCCAAAGTAACAGTAGAGCAAAGTATAAAAACATACAGAACACTACTGTGCTCGGACTCTGAAACACCATTTGCTTCATGGTTAAATTTTTTCTGCTGAAGAAAAAGATCATGGTAACTCAAAAACATAAGCTTGATCTAATTGTTATGGGAACAGTTATGATACCAGAAAGACTAAAATTAACTTTTTCCTCTATAGCAGGGCAAGCATGTTTCTTTTTTATGTGAGTATTATGTGAGCAATTCAACATTTGGTTCAGCAGCCAGATGAAGCAATGTTGCCTAAATGCAAGATGTTACAATCTTTGGTTTAAAAAATAATCCTACTTGCACATGATTTAAAGTTGAGTGTGCACAAGTGCAAGAAAAAAAAATTCAGAAGCATCATTTAAACCTCTACACCTTCATATCTGTATGCATAATCTCCATACAGTTTTTTCATTACATTTCCTCAGGTCTCCAACTAGGAGAATTTGTTTAACAATCAAGAGCTTTAGTTGGTGGTCATTTCCTTTATTCTCATGATCGTAATGAGGGATTCAGGGATGATATAGTAAGGAGAAATTATATGCTAATCATCCCTAGGGGTTAGAGGTAAGCACAAAGAGAATGTTAACAATCCCATGTTAATTGCCCACTGACAACTAACATCAAAAATCTTGTCACTCACAGTCAATGTTATAATTTGCATAATGGCAACCAGCTTATTGTAGTTTCAAAATAGGAGGCATGTACCTCATTCAAATTTCATTTCTTAGTCAGAAGGTGCATAAGCTAATTATAACCCCAAGAAATAGCAACAATGGTCAGTTATCATGAAGGCCTACATAATGTCTGCCTTCATGTTATAACAACTTCACACCCGATCAGTAGCACGATCCAGGGTGGCAAAGCATGTTTACGAAAACCATATTGAG